GTTTGACAAATCACTGAGAAGCCTTTGCCTGTCTCCAAATTGACCCTCTATGAATTCCTGGAAAGCTAGGAATTGTAGACCCTTAGGTCTAACTTCTCTGCTCACTCACGGGAGCTGTTTCACTGTCTATACTTCCTTGCTCCCATTGGGATGTGTTTTGGATCACACTGACCATTCCTAATCAGCTACTGTTGCAGGACTACCAGCTGTTGGCCTCAGAGTTGGAGGTGCAAAACTACCAAACATATCCAGGTGATGCTGTGGTTATGGGAACGATCAGGTGTTTTAAGCCCTAAGGAATCGACTTGGTTCTACTTCAATCAGTATTTTGCCAGCCAGGTGGCACCTGACAGTTCCACAGAACTTGGGCAGCGAAGTGAAACAGCCAGCTACTTCAGGACTTGGTCAGCACCCCAGCTTTCCCAGGTCCCCCAAAGATGAGCAGCACCCTTTAGGTCAGCAAGAAATAGTCGTTGCCTCACTGCTACCCCTTTATAGCTCCTCACTTTTTAAAATATAATAAATAAAAAGGGAGGAATGTTAGTATTCAGGCATCTGTACTGCCTGCCCTTGGGATTCTGACAGGGTATGTCCTCAGCTGTAGCCCCTAAGAGCAATGCCTGTGCACATTCACTACATTCCCTTTTAATAAGGCCCTGCCCAGCTCCCCCCCTCTTTCTCCCTCTTTCTCTCTTTGCTTCTCTGCCTATCTCTCTGTCTCTCCTTCTCTTTACCCCCTCTCTGCCTCTCTCTTCTCTTCTGCTGTTCCTGTCCCCAGAGGGCAGTTTTTCTTCTCTCCTCCCCCCCTTTCCCACTCCCTACCCAAGCTGGGCCCAGGGACTGGCTCTTAGGGGCAGGCCAGCTGGGGACAGCTCCCAGTAGGGCCTTGCCTGCCACTTCCTTGCTGAGCCTACAGTTGAAGGATCTACTGGAATCTTATTAGAAATTCTTTGCCTGTTTAGTTTAATATCCTCTTGATTGATTAATCCCTTGATAGGTGGGAAGTGACCATCTTTATCTCTTATGAGTAGTTTTAGTCTGACATGTTTTTTAGCTATGAGAATTGCAACACTTGTTTGCTTTCTGACTCCATTTACTTTGGATACCTTTGTCCATCCTTTACCCAAAGATAGAATCTATTTCTGATGGTGAAGCATGTTTCTTGGAAGGAAGAAAACGATGGATCCTGTTTTCTGGTCCAGTGATAAACTCTGTCGTTTGATTGGGTAGTTGAGACCATTGATATTCAAAGTTATTATAGAAAGATGCATATTTATTCCTAACATTTGTTGATTTTCTAGTGTCTGTTTTCTTGGTCTCTGTTTGCTTAGCTTCTGAATTATCATTGCTTATTTTTTCACCATGGTCTCTTCTATAAGCTTACCATTCTCTTTAGTCTGAAATATTCCATCTAGTATCTTCTATAGGTTTGGATTGGTAGTCTTATATTCCTTTAGACTGTGCTTATCTGGCAATGTTTTTCTTTCTATTTCAATTATGACATAGTTCTGTTGGATATAGTAGTCTGGGTTGGCATGTGGTCCTTCACAACTGGAAGTGCACTTCTCCTGTCTTTCTGGCTTCATCAAATGCTATTATCAGGACCTTCTTTATATGAGACTCCATCCTTTTCTATCTTGCAGGTTTCAGTGTTTCTTTGTTCTATTATAGGACATGGGGAGTCACTCCTCTAATCTTATGTATTTGGCGTGCCTCTTGTAATTGGGTAGGCATCTCTTTCTTTAGATTTGGGGGAATTTTCTGTGGTTTTAGTGAAAACTTTTTTCTGTGCCTTTGACCTGGATTTACTCTCCTTCTTCTACATCCATAATATTTATAGCTTTGTGTTTTTTTCATAGTGTCTCAAAGGTCCTCCATACTCTATCTGTGTGATTTTGATTTATTGTTTTATTAGACTGAGTGCTCCAATTCCTCTACCTGTCATTATGCCTTGATAGTCCTGTCCACTGGTGAAGTTTTTCACTGAGCTTTTTACCTCAAGTTTTATTCTGGTTTGTGTTTTATTTAATATTTCAGTCTCTTTATTGAACTGTATTTTCACAGCCTGAACTGTCCTCCTTGTTTTATATGTTTTCTTAATTTTCACCCTGGCCTCTTTTTATGTTCTCGTTCAGTTCCTTGAACATATGTAACTCTTCTGTTGAATTCATTGCCTTAAGTGCCATTCCAGTTTCTTTCCTTGGGGATCATTACTATGGTATTAAAGATTCTGGAGGAGATGTAGTGCCTTCGGTTTTCAGTTTTGTCCTGTTTTTAGTAGAGGACTTGGGTGGAGCTAGGTTCTTGGTCGTATGGTCTGGCCTATCTTTGTGGAGTGGGTGTTTGCTTCTTCTTCTCGCTGTTACAAAGGTTTGACAAGTTTTTAAAAAAATATTTATTATGTATACAGTGTTCTACCTGGGCCAAAAGTGGGCACCAGGTCACATTACAGGTGGTTGTGAGTCACCATATGGTTGCTGGGAATTGAACTCAGGATCTCTGGAAGAGCAGCCAGTGTTCTTAACCTCTGAGTTATCTCTCCAGCCCCCGGTTTAACAAGTTTTATACTAGCTAATGCCTGAAGTTCAGTCTTAGGGCCACTCAGTGCTGATTAGTGAGTCGGGCAACAGAAATATTTGTAGCTTAGCTACAAAGGTGTAGTCTCCAGCCTCACTAGCAGACGCTCACAGTGGATCATCCGGGCACTCAGCACAGGTCCTCAGAGGGTGACATTAGGGTCTCAGGGGGAGGGAGGCTTGAGAGGTTTCCATGGAGCAAGCAAGGCAATGGCACAGGCCCTCATGTGGGCAGCATTGGGATTCCAGCACTAGGAAGTAATAATCATCACTTAGGGAGGAAGTAAGGGGCTCAGTGCATGCCCTCAGATGGTGATGCTAGGCTCCAACGTTAACGGGAGGAGAGAGAGAGAGTTAAGGGAGAGTGAGTGATCCCACACAGATACCCTGATGGCAGAGACGGTATGCAGGAGGTGTGAGGTATGGGGGTCTTTAACCTGACAGGCACTTGAGGGGAAGTTCAAGTGGGCACAGGGCAGAAGAAATGAATGTTGGAAGTGGGAGGTCTGGGACCTCTTATCTGTCTAGGCTGAATGGACACAGGCCTAAATTTGTACATTGAACCATGTCTCAAGGACCTTCTTCCAAGGACCTATTCCCTTAGTTCTTGGTTATAGAACTCAGGGACATTGGTGGGCTTAGTCAAGATTACACCCAACATCAGGGAAAGATGCACAAAGTATGGATTGAGTGACTGCTCACTGTAGGGTACCACAGGAGCTGATGGGGATTTTGCTAGGGCTCTATGTGGTTTGGATAAGGATGAGTAGGAAAGTCAATAGTATAGTTAGGCAATCTACATGAATAAGCCAAAGACAATGTGAGGTGTGTGTAGTAGCATGGTGGGTCAAAACCCAGAGACAGATATACAGATATCAGGGTTCAAACTGAAGATCAGAAAACCAAAGCAGCCAAGCCACTAAAGAGTTCTTACCTCTTCCAAGGCCAAGACCAAAGGTGCAATCGTGTCCTCTGATTGCATCTCCAAACTGCACTGCTCCTCAGACTGCCTAGACTGCAAACTGAATACATTGCACTCCTATCTCCACACACCTTACACTCTTCTCTAGTGCTGGGACTAAAGGCGTTTGCCACCACCTCCCAGCTTCTATGGCTAACTAGTGTGGCTGCTGGGATTAAACAGCTGCGCCACCACTTCTTGGCCTCTATGGCTGTGGCTAGCAATGCACTCTGATCTTCAGGCAAACTTTATTAAATCATAAACAAGATATCACCATAGGCATAATTTCCAGATTAAACTTGTTAGGTGGGCCTTCACTGAACTCCACTGACCAGGCAGGAGTCAGCAGTGGAGGATCTCAGTGGAGTTTGAGTGTTTAATGAGGTGACAAGAGGTGACTTAAACAGTTCATATAAAATTAACAGTGGTCTGACACACTCAAGATTTGTGGACTGCTTATGGAATACTGTATTAGATTCTTTTCTCATTGCTGTGACACAGTGCCTGGCAAGTGTCATTTAAGGAAGGAAGGAAGGATATGATTTGAAGCAACACAGTCCTGAGCGCTGGGAAAGCTCGCAGCAGGAGTGAGTTGTGGCTGGCCACATTGCAGTCACAGCAGGAGGTAGAGAGATGAATATTGGTGCTCACATCTCTTTTTCCTTCTACGGTTTCTGTTCTGTCCAGGGCCCCTGCCCATGGCATGTCATCACCCATATTCAGGGTGGGCCTCCCATCTTCAGCTAAACACCTATGAAAATCCCCTCACAGGATGGACAGAAACCCCTCAAGGTCAATCCAGTCAAGTTAATAATGAAGATTAGTCAGAACAAACACCAAGAGTCATCCTCAGTGCCCTATATACATTCAATGTAACCAAAATAGAAACTTTATGAGGAAAGTTGCTGGTGTAAAACTGAGACAAAATCAAAGAGGTTTGGTGACATTTGTGGGGTATCCCAGAGGGGCAGTGATGGGGTTCCACCTTAATCCCAGATAATTCCATTGCAGAACCTGCATTCTTATTACTCCTGAGATGCTTGCCCTCATATCAGAAGTGTGGGAAATTCTTCCTGGGCACAGAGGATAATAGCAGGATTGCATGTCCCTTCTATTTGAGAGTCCTTATATCTCACAATTCATGAAAGCATAATTTGCTGTTGGGGAGACAGCAGGGTAGAGAAATAGATTAAATAACATTTGGGCTCTACAGCAGTAAAGGTTAAAGGCTACACGGGGCTTTCTTATTTGTCTTTTTTTCATTTTTTCTACTTATGTGAGATGTTTTATGATAACTTTAATTGATTGCTTCTATTTGGAGAAGAAACTAGAGTTTGTGCAATGGTATCATTCAGATCTGGCAGGAGAGGGCGATAGCAGAAATAAGACCAAAAAGACAAGAAAGTCATTAAAAATGACCTCTGCCACATGGCAGAGTGCGAAGTGATCATGCCCAGCCTGGATATGTCCACATTTACACATTTATTTGGGTTTAGAGAGAAAACACAGGTAAAATACTTTGATCATACACAAGTTTATATTTGGTAGGAAGAACAGGTTGCCACATGTCTGTATGTTTTATTTTTATTCTGTCTTTAGTAATGGAGAGGTGCTGGGGAAATATTGACATTATTCAGAAACACCATTTGGTAACAAGATCTTGGCACACTCAACTAATTAATACACAGTGTTTGCATTTAGCACTTGAAACAGAAAAGCACGTGCAAGATGATACCTGATTTGATGGTTTTTGATTCTTTGTCCTGCTGCTATATTTACACCTGTGCTTCCTTTATCCATTTTCTGAGGAGCAGCACCTACTCCAAGTCCCCACAGAGTCAACACCTGCAGTATCAGCGGCTCCTGACACACTGTAATTGGTTTCTCTAGCCTCATAGATGAAACAGGGCTCCCTTTGCACTTTGTGTTCTATCACAGAATTCTCAAAACGATTTCTTAGGGTGGGGCTTAACTGAGGTTATATTCTCTATTAGAGCTGATGTACAAGGCATACAGCTTGGGACAGGATGAGAGGGTGAGGTGAGAACAGGAATAAATGCAAATATAGTTTTCATAGTCTCAATATAGCTACCACATAGAAGACACACTGATAATTGTGCAAGTTTTTACAGCAACACACGTTGATTTGCAACACCACACAATTCAATATAAAGTGCACAACCCCAATCTGAGGTGACAAGACCGTACTAACAATGTACTAAAGGACACACACACACACACACACACACACACACACACTTTTTTCTTTTCTCAAATCCTGTAACAGTACATGAGCTCTATACCATTTAGAGATCTCAGATAAACACACACTCTACTTTTTTCAAGTATTTTAAATAATAAATGAAATATTGCTATGTAAATAAAAAATGGCCATATCAATTCTGATTAAAGCTGAAACCAATGTTTTATAAATGAAAGATAAAAAAGGTCACAAATAAAGACCTTTGGCACTGGGAATTTGGACCAATGTTCAGTGCAGTCTCCCTCCATTATTCTTTCTTCCCATCTTCCTCCCCTCTCTGTCTCAAGTAGATGGCAGATCTAATTAGAGCACTGGCCTCCCTCTCTAGAATATAGTGGGAAGAGATTTCCATATCTAAGCAAGGCTCCAAGAAAACTTGAGGAAGAATCTGTAAAATAAGTAGATAGATTTAATTCCAGTGAATAGCATTTTGCTGGAATCTCATACATGGACACGACTACTTTTCAAAGTTTGCCATCTCATCAAACTAGAAGCCAGCATGTGCTACCAAGTCTGTTCCCTAAGAGCTAAGCTTTTCTGTCTATCAGGACACCAGGCCCCCTGCCTTCTCTAAGTGGACAGTAGGTTTGATAGATGAGAATCTCTTCCTATGAAATGAGATCTTGGGCCTGAGGCTCAAGATGCATGGACAGCTGCTGGCTTACTTTCCACAATCAGTTTCTAGAAAGGCCTGCTTGCCCATTACTGAGTACCTAAAATGGGAGGCTATTCCTTCATGCAACTCAGCTGCATAGGGAGTTTTCTCTTCAGTGCTCTGGGGAGTCCATTGACTTTCTAGACAGCAAAGGCCTGAAGCCACATTTATAGATAATCAGTATGTTTGTACACATGAAGATATATGACTGTTGAGGACAGGGCCTCCTTTCTATGTTCCTGGAGTCTTTCTGACTTTTGAAATATCCATCCACTTGGAGTATCTGCCATTTGTTTACAAAAGGTCATAGTTCTCCTACTAGCACTTAGGTCATATGTGACTCTAAAGTTATCATGGAGCTATGGATAAGCTCTCCATATAGTTGACAGAGAAAGAAGATTACTTTTAAAATAGTATTTTGAGTTTTAGTGATCTTTGCATATCCTGGTCACTGTGGGTCTTGACTGGAGGCAGATAAAAGATCTTAGGCTATCTTGAAACTGCTTGCATGAGGATCTCGTTTCAGAAAAGGAAAACATCCACATGAGATATTAATTCCTTCTTGAGGGTCTGGAGGTAGGGAGTCTAGCAGGAGAAACTTTAAAGTGTGGATGAAGAAGGAATTCAGACAAAAGAGTGGGCGTGACACAAATGATGTTTTCCCAGAAAGCAGCAGAATGGTATTTGGGATGAAGCCATTATTGTCACACAGAGGTCTCATCTCCCATGACTGGGTTTAATATTCTGAGCTCATCACAATTAAGGAATGTGCTACACTCCTCCTTGCGAGGACTGATTAGGTTTTACTTTTAGTTTTTTCTAATTAATCTACGTGATCTAATAAAAGAATATGGTATGAAAAGACATGTCAAGAACTAATATCAACCTTCTGTTCAAAGCAGGCTACAGGGGAAAGCAGGACTGACATGCTTGCCTGATCTAGGACCAAGCAGGGCTTATACAGTGGGTCTTCTAGGGCCAACTCGTGCAAAGCCTAAACAGGAAGAGAGTCTTAATTGTTGATTCAGTCAATTGTTTTTAGAAGTTTCTTTCTTTGTGTGTGTGTGTGTGTGTGTGTGTGTGTGTGTGTGTGTGTGTGTATGTGTTTGTTTTGAAATACTATCTTTAGGGATATCGTAAGCAATGATATATACTAACATAAGTTATTAAACTTTTAAAGAATTTTGTGTGTTTGTATGTTAAAATTACCTTGCTAAAGGTTTTATTGTGCCTCTATGAAAAGAAAGAGAAAAAGAGAGAAAGAAATAAAGAAATAAATCTGGCTTAGGTTTCATATCTGCCCCTGCAGTTTATATAACCCATATAAAATAAAATCTATATGCTGTTACAAAATAGGATTTCTTTTATATATATTTTTCTTTTTGTAAAATTATATGTATTTAAATACATTTGAAATGTTGCTATAGGTAAATTAGAAATTTTTTCTAATACTATGAAAAAGGCAAGAGTTTGTATTGTCAGCGTACATTTTATATTTACTTTGTCCTTTTCATGGCACCCCAGAGAACCTTTTATGATTCAGGGGTGATTTGGCACTATTCAGTACTCCTGCTCTGAAGTGAAAGTAAAGTTGGACTGGCATACGATATTAAAAGGGAAATATTTATAACAACTTTATACTTTCTCTTACTGATTAGAACATAGCCTTTTGTCACTAATTATTAGAGAGCTATTCTAAACTTAAGAAAGGATCTTTAAAAGGAGCGATGGATGTTTCTTTTCCTGTTTGTTAGTTTTGTTTTTTTTTTAAACTTTACTCTACTGTGACACCACAATATAGAAATAGTTTTACTTTGGAACAAACTACAAATACATTTACACAGTTGTGACAACTTAACTGTCTACCTAGAGGATTTAAACAGTTTGATGAGTGAGGTGATTACAAATCTTGTCCCAGGCGTTCGATTTCTTCGATGAGGAAGTCAATGTCTTGGTGAGTTGCTGCAGGATTTGAGATGACCATACGGAAGAAGTTGACCTTGTCTCCCAGGGGCTGGTAACTGACCATTGTGGTTCCATACTCCATCATTCTGGCTTTAATCACTGGTGCCACCTGTAGGAAAGACTACGTCAGCGCTATGGCTTTCTTTTCTGGACCTCCCTTAGGTTAGGAACCCCACAGCAAGTGATGATTTTGGTTTTGAACTAAATGGGACCACAGTTTTCTCTTAAAAGAATTTCTTCAAGTTTTCATGAGATAAGGAAATAAAAACAGCTCAAAACATTGAAAACCTTAAATATGATGAGTAAAGCACAGTAGGCTAGGAGGCGCTTGCCACCTTGATTGTTTAGTGGGAAAGGGAAGAATCTGGTCCTGGCCCAGGGCTAAATGGTTTAGAGAACTAGATAGGAGAGAGTTCAATCCAGAAAATTATGAAATCATTGTAAAGAAAGCATTGTTCATAGAATTATTATGAGGGATATGTCTTAGTGTCAAGTGATGGCTAAAGACCTCTGAGGGGCTGGAGAGATGGTTCAGTTGAGAGAGTGCACTCGCTTGAAAACATGAGGCCCTGTGTTGTCCTAGAACCTATGTAGCAAGACCAGGAGTGGTTGCATTGCCAGTAACACCAATGCTGTGGGGAGGAGACAGGCTGGCTCTGGAGTTCACTAGCCAGCCTAGCTGAGACGGTGAGCCTCAGGTTCAGCAAGAGACTATGTATCAAGAGAACAGGGCTGAGAGCAATAGAGGAACACACCCAGTGCCACCTCTGGCCACCCCAGGAGGGAATACCCCACTACCACACACAGACACACACACACAGACACACACACACACACACACACACACACACACACATACACACAGGTACAGATACCATACTTCTGACATCTTTCCTGTGATCCAAAATTTATCTAGTCTCTTTACATTCTCTTTTGAAATTGCTTTTACTTATGAGTATTTTTGAGGGAGAGGAAAGCCTTTAATTCTATGAAGAATTATCTAGGAGTAAAAAACTGGATCCACAAGACTTCATGTACAGAAGAATATCCCAGACAAAATCACAGCATTTCTGTTAGACTGTTCATTGTAGCTTCATGGGTTCTCTTTGCTGTTTCAAATTGAGTTCACACTCCCTAGCTTGGCACAAAGGCCTTTTGTTATCAGCTCCAAGGATTCATCTTCAACTGCTCACCAAAACGAACCTACAACTCTGACAAGAGCAATTTATTAAATATCCCTTGAACCATCTACATTTTCATTGATTCATGCCTTCATCAGTCTTACAGTGGCATGCTCTCCCAGTCCACAGCCTACATTCTCTGTAGGACTCCACATCATAAGCACTCTGCAGGATTTCCCCCACAATGCTGCAAGTGCTGCAAACCATTTCCCGCCTGTCATCTTTCTTCTTCTGAGTTGTAACCATATGGTCCTTACCTGTTAAATCTAACAATATCCTAATATTTTAATTGGCCTTCCACTGATGAACAGATACATCGTCTCTTTCTACCTTATCTGTTAGCTCCTGGAAGCTAGGCATAGTACCTTTTCTTTCCTTTGCTCTCTAGCACAGTGCAGGGAAGTGTAACAGGCCTTCTGAATTCTGATATGGCAATAGTATGTGAGGAACAGTTCTCTAAGACAAGATATACATTCCAGTTACTTCTTCTCAGATTCGTGATCTGCCCACATGCATTCACCGCTCGAGTTTGTAAATACAGCATCTGATCTTTGATGTTTATAACAAAGATACAGCCAGAAAGGAGTAGTCAGACTTGCTTTTAACTTCTGTGGGATGGACATGGTCAGAAATTCAGTTGTAAATGGGGACCATCCCTTGCATCACAGCAGGCCTTTTCATAATTAAAATATATGTTTGTGTCTTCCTAAGACACAAAATAGCATACAGTTATCATAGAAATGTATTTTCACTATAAGTTATAAAGCTTTTGTGTTTAAATCTTAGAAGTGCATGAAATAGGGAAATAGAACAGTCATCAAAGAGACATTCTGCAATGTTAAAATCTTGCCAAAAAGTCTCAATTGCAGACCTTACAAAGTCACCTCAAGTACTCAGCCAAATTACTTCTTTACTAATTTGTTGTTAAACCCATTTGTTGACCTTTTGAAAATCATCAGCTAGTAGAGGAATATAAAAGCTGATAAAAAGAGATGCAGGTAATGATGAAGACTTGCTGGGCATGGTGGTGCACACCTTTAATCCCAGCATTTGGGAGGCAGAGGCAGGCGGGTCTCTGGGTCTCTGTGACCTCTAGGCCAGCCAGGGCTACATAGTGAGCCACTGTCTCAAAACGGCAGGGACAAAACAACATAACAGAAGGAATAATTAGAAGAGAGGCTAGAGTTTAGCTCAGAGGTGGGACAGCAGCCAGGCATGCATGAAGTACTGACTTCCATCCCTAGAATAGCAACAGCAAAAAGGTTGATGATGAAGATGAAACCGAGGAACCAGAAGTAGGAGAGGTGGTACATGGAGCAGTCTGTCTGGGCAGCTGGAAATGCACCTACCAGATCCTCACCTTGACGTCCTCATGATGGGGAATGCTTGGATTAGTAATGGCCCCTTCTGTTATCTAGATATTTGTTCCCTACCAGTGAACCCTTGGGAACGGCCATGAGCCACCATTAAGTTTGGTAAATCCCAGAGCATCAGCCTGGGAATCCAGCATGGGACTGATCAAGACCCCCTGAATCTGGGTGTCAGTGAGGAGGCCTAGGTAATCTATTGAGCCTTGGACAGCAGATCAGTACCCATCCCAAGTATACACACGGTCTCTGGACTCCCATAGAACAATGTGAGGTGCACTCTCACCCTGAACTCTTGGGGAAGGGCCTAGGCCCTGCCCTATATGAAATGACAGACTATGGACACCCCCATGGAGGGCCTCACCCTCCCTGGGGGAATGAGGGGATAACGGGGGGGGGGGATGGGGGGGAGGGCACGGGAGGAGGGGAGGGAAAGGGAGAGGGACCTCGTACTGACTTGTGAAGCAACCTTGTTTCTTATCTAAATTTAAAATGGAAAATAAAAAAAATATTAATAAAAAAAAAGTTTGGTAAATGTTCCCTTTCCTTATGCATGAAAGTATGTGAAAAGCACTCACTGTAAACTGAACATTGTGTCCCCTTAAATTTCTATGTTGTCATCTTAATCCCCAATTAGGATGGGGCTCTTGGGAGGCTCTGCCTTATTAGTTTGTGCCTTTGTATGAGACCCCAGAGAGGTGTTTTTCTTTCCTTCTGCCAGAGTAGGGTACAGTGAAGACAGACGGTCACTGGGCTAGGAAGTGGAGTCTTAGCAGATGTACACTCTGCTGACTTCTTGACCTCGGGGTTCCCAGTCACCAGAACTGTGGAAAATCAATTCCTGTTGTCCATAAACCACCTAACCTGCAGTAGTTCATTATATTGCAAACCCCCTCATCTCAGTACTTTATCTCAGCAATTGGCTTTTGGGTGGGTTCTTGGCCTTGTCTTGTCCATAAGCTAACTTTGCTCTCTCTCCAACATGCAGGTGCACACATGGGAATATTCACACACATGTGCATTTGCAGTCATGTGAGAACATGTACCCTTATATACAATACACACTGACAAATTAAGAAAAAAAAGTCTACCACATCTGAGTTTTATTCTGCTCAGGAACTTGGTGCTGGATTGCTAAAGGGCAGATGTTAGTATCTAAAACCTTTCCTGAGGATTTTTCATCTACAGGACTCTATTCTCCCCTTTACATAGAGGGAATGAATTGCTCTAGAAGGTTAGTAAGGTACAGTGGGTGAGATTCTTAGCAGTGGGGAGTCCACGCCTGCCTAACCTGCTGCGTCTCCATCCTCCTCTAGCCTAGGGCAGCTAACCTTCTGAAGTTCAAGTATATGAATCATCCTAGTTTCCCATTTCTACAGCACCGTGATGGTATATACCAGAAAACACACTTCACCCATGTGTAGATGTTGGGAGAAGGTAGAGATTAAAGGTAAAAAAAAAGTATTTCCTGACCAAAGGAGACCTCGAAGCAATTTAGGCTCTGGAGTCAGAGTTACTGCGCAATTTCGGGAAAATTACATTTTCTCCCTGTCAATCAGTACTTGTCCACGTCAACTCACACATGCTGCTATGAAACTTTAAGTGACCTAAAACATGGTAAATGTTGAGCCTGGGGCACAATGCACACTGTAAATGGTAGCTGTTAATATTATTGCTCCTTCCCCTGGGTAGCCTTGACCTTGGCATCTCAAGAGCGCCTGCAGCAGCCTCTTTTTTTCCTTTCTATTTCTGATACTTGAAATGTCTTTTGTACTTGTAACTGAGTATCTGTTTCCTTTCAAAAACCAGAAACCTTTGAGGACAGTTCTTGGTGCTTTCTAAATGTCAGTGGAGATTATCACCCAATCAATAATTTTAAGACATCATAAACTCTTTCTCTCTAGAAAGAAGCAAATGGAATTGTGAAAAGTCAGGAAATGCAGACTTTGCACATCCTGACTCTGTGGGAGCCACAGAGGGTATTAGTCCAGGTAAAAGCTGGTACTCCCCATAAAGAGGTTTTTGTCATAAGGGAGACACATAGAGCAAAGGAACTCGCAGCACCCACCTTTGAGAGGCGGCTCATTCTCTCTTCATTGTCTTCCAGAACACGCAAACTGGGAGGCACAAACCAGAAGCACACATTTGTGTGCTGAGGCTACAAGGAAGAAAGTAGGATTCAGACTTGGTCCAAAATTCCAAGGATAATTTGGATGTACTTATTTTTCGGGTTCAGAAGATAATTGCTGTATTTAAATGGGCAGTTGCCTTTCACATTCTATAGAATTATTTGTGAGTCTGATCTTTATTCCAGCTCAAAGGAGCCATCACATCATCTATTGCTTCCCCTAGTAATGGTCCCACTTAGCTAGACAGCACAAACAGCAGGGGTGAAGAGTGGAACTGAAGACACTGGGATTCAACAATGGCGATTGTTGAAACGTGAGTACTTACTTTCCCATCAAACACCATTTCATAGCCTTCTCGGTTTTTGATGATATTGTATAAATACTCTGCCAGCTCCAAACACTTATCAATATGTGCTTCAAAGCCAGTAGTCCCCTACGATAGGGAAGAAGGAAAAGCATTAGGCAGACCCGGTGTGTGGGTAGCTATTAGCTGGAAATGGAGTGGCATGAGTCCTGGAGGCTTCTCTGCTGAAAGCTCCCATTTAATGCCCCCCAGGTGCATTTGTTCCTTTTCATTACTAGGGCCCACAGCTGACTCCTTTTGTTTCCAGGGCTTAATTCCCCAGGCAATTATTTTGATTACTCAAGGGGAAAATTTGCCTCTGCAGCTCATAGATGCAATCATGGAAGTCATTAATAACAGAAGGGCAGGGCTAGTCTTTTCCTGTAGAAAAGAAGCCTTGTCAGGGACGCCCCCACATGCCTGCTTGGCCTCCACTCATGTTGTAAATTATCCATCCCCAAACTCCCTAAATGGCTCAGTAAGAACAAACAGACACTCACTGAATGTCAGTTGATCAAACAAATGAGTCTTGGGAAGCCTGTCATTTTGCCTAGCTTTTTGGTGCTGTCCTTTGTAATGATGCATGACTCATATGTCAGCTGGGTGAATATGCCATTGAAGCCTTCTACTTCACAGCTCTGGGAACCTTGGGTCTGGACTTAAGAAACACAGTACAACATCCTTGGACTGGAGCTATTTAACCAATGTCTAGGCACACTAAGCAACTGATTCCTAAAATACTTTTCCTTCTTTAGTGCCTGTATTTGACAAGTGCAAATGGAAATCCCAGAAAAGCGTTTGATGCTCTTGGTACTGGTATACTACCTAACTCAGCATGGGAAATGGAGGAAACAACTCTAATGATAGTGGAGATGGAGATAAGATGGGTATGTTTTCCTCTTTTATTCAAAGGGAAGACCCAACATAGCCCATGTTAAGCATGTTTCGGGTCCTAATTCCTGGTGGGGGGGAATGAAAGAAATATCAAACAGCAAGAGTAGGTCAACCTCTGACAGGAAAGTGAAGAAACCAGTTTTTCCCAGCCTTGGAATAAAAGACCTGAGAGAGACGTGAGAAAGGGAAGGTCATCAGCTGCATTACTCAAGAGTGCCCCTCCTCCCCGATTTGTTACGCAAAGCTTCGAATGTCTGGATATCTAAATGGAAAAATTTTCCATTTGGCTTCCAACTTCAAGCTTCATTTTTTTTCAAGATGAAATGATAAAGAGTTATCAAAATAATAAGTGCAGTTCTAGACCACAAGTGAGGATAATAATCCCATCTGAAGCTCCCTAGCCATGCCTGTCATGGCAGTCAACCTTTCCCTGCAAGAACAACCGGAGCGAACGTGACTGTGATGATTACATGGTTGTGAGACAAGATCCTACTCTGAAGACAGGCCGATCTCAAGCCCACACCAATCCTCCTGCCTTAGCTTACTGAGTGCATAGTGATCTTTCTTTCGTGTAAATTGAGAGTCCAGTCAAAATTAAACTAAGTGGGTCACAAAGCAAAGCCAAAAAGTCCCCCCAAAGATTTGAAGGTGGGATTTGGACTTGGGTTTTGGGGGGTGGGAGGAATAAGAAAGGGTGGAGGGACGTGTGTGACTAGGATGCATTGCATTGCATATATGCGTGAAATGGTTAACGAATAAACTAATAAAAATATAACCTTTGACCTTTGCAGCCTCCTTACATTTAATATGTCTGCCTCCAGAAGGCTAAGAAGAGACCCAGCCTGTACTGTTCCAACAGCTCTAGGAAGTACTTCACCTGTAGAAGAAGGATCACCTCTAGGTAAATTTTGAGTACCCAGAACCCCACACAAAGGACTGGACACTTGTAGAGTTTTAAAAAGTGTTTTCTCACTAGGAGTTATCCCTTGAAGTATCCAAAATAAGCAATCATGGTGGCATTTTTCATTCCTGTTTCCGTCTATAAACACACTGATCTGCCCTGGTGATTGATCATCAAGATGGATCATCAGTGAAAATGAAGAGGAGGGCACGAAATAAACCAAATAACAATGAGGGTGACAATGGTAAGAGGTGCTTTGTAAAACCCAGGCTGCTCTGCCAAATGCATCAAAACTGGTTTTTGAGTCAAGAGCTTGAGAGGAGACAAAGGAGGGGTCTCACTGTGCTCTTGCCCATGGAGAATGTGGGTATGCAGAAGTAGGATCAAAGAGAATTTCCATCCAGCAATGACCTTTTGCAACCTGTCTCATAGGCGCTCTTTTCTTTAGCTGCCCTTCAGCAGGCCTGTGCTCACCTTTGCTCTCCACATGAGCCATAGTTTAAAGACATCAACGTGGCGTCCACACTGCAAGGCCTTGTCTCCAGTGTCGTAGGACAGGTCATAGTGCTTGTCTTGCTGAAAAAGGTAGGAAGCATGCATCTGGTTGCAGCTCTGCATCAGTCCCTGCAAAAGCAAAGAGGACATTCAGGTCACCCTCCTCACTCTGTGCTAGCATTGCATTGTGGGGGCAGTTGTTAAGAAAGAAGAGCCACAGACACAAATGCTTTTGTATCTCATGGAAAAGAAAACAGTAAGAATTAAATAGAAAACTACTGGACAAGATTGTCCAGGCAAACACCACAGGCTGATTCTGTGGGATGAAGGCTCGGGGTGGAATGCTACCAGAGGTTTACAGGGACACAGTTACATTTTTGTTTTCCTCTTAGGAGATGACATTTATAAAAATGTGTAGATATGGAAGATTCACATGATGCTCGTTTTCTAGGAGATCGTCTTAATCTAATTTTGTTGTAATTCAAATATTTCAGAAACCCAACACTTGGGAGCCTGACATAGGAGGATTGCTGCAAGTTTGTGGTTATCTTGGTCTACATAGTGAGTTCCAGACCAGTCAGGCCTGTATACCAAGACTGCCCTTTTAAAAAGGAAGAAGGAGAAAGAGAAAAAGGAAGTAGGGGAGAGGCTTCAGAAAATTTGTATTCTTTGATTTTTAAGATTTACGTGTGTGGACACTTTGCCTGCATGTATGTCTACCATGTGTCTGTAGTGCCCCCAAGGGGGACAGAAAAGGGTGTTACACCCTTGGAACTGGAGGTGCAAATGGTTGCCAGCTGCCATGTGGGTGCTGGGACTCAAACCTCTGAAGGATTAGCCAGTGCTCATAACTTTTGAGCCATCTCTCCAGTCCCAACTTTCTGGTTCTTAAAATAACATTACTGTTCGTCTAGAACATTCACTCATCTGTAATTATTAGAGTCTGAGCTATTTGATAGCTCATTGCACATATTTTTATAAATTGGAATGTTAAAAAAAGTTCAAAGACACTGCAATTATGAGTTGAACCTGAACAAGCAGACTTTGCCATCTCCTGTTCCTCTCGCAAGGGTCAGGCTTGAAGACTGCATTTTCACATTCAGTTGCTTATGACAAAGGAGATTTTCCTGCAGTGACCATGAATCTGCCCAAGCACCATACTCCTAATATAGAAATAGGCAGTGAAGCAATTGTTCCGAAGAACGGTGAATGACTCATGCTTCTGGCTACAATAGCATTGCCAGTCTTCTGGAAACCCCACCATGATTCAATTTATCACTTTCACCCAAGGCTCCTGAGTCTCCTGTCAGCTGCTGTGCAATTGTGATTTTATAAATGCTTTGGCATTTGCTTTTCTTTCTCTTGTGACTCATGACAAGAGAAGAAAAGACCAAAATGTGATCACTGAGTTGAAGTAGAAGTGAGAACCTTAAAAAAAAAAGTTATCCAAAGTAAAACGCAGAGCAATGCAGATAGGGAGCTTGGTGGACAATAGAACTGATTCCATCTTTAGCTTGGGCTTCATATTACATGGACTCCATAGTTATCTTTGAAAATAAGAAAAAATATGATGTGTGAGCATGAGGGCAGGAGGAAGACAATGAACTTGAAAAAGAAAATCCCCTTACAGATAAATAAGATGTAGAATTATAGGAGGTGCTTCTACTTTGATTCATGGGCACTAAAACCTCTGTACCAGTTCTTCCCTGGCATTGGAAGTGGCAGAGACTGGCCATGATGAGATCTCAGCCACATGCCATACTGTGGTCTGCTGCTGTGCCTTCCTCATTGTGATTGACACTGTGAGCCAAAACAAACCCTCCCTGCCTTAAATGCCCTCCTATCAAGTATTCGGTCCTAGTGATGAGAAAGGAAAGCAAAGAACACCATCCTCTTTCAGATGAGACTGATGCCCTAGTCTGTAAAACACAGCCTGTGCTCTGGCTCTGTCACCTTCCAGCTGCCTCCCATCTGAAGCAGATAGGAGCTTCGTGTCTCAAATTGTCATCCAGTGATTCGAGGAGGGATGGGTCAGGTGCCAAGCCACAAGGTGCTATCCTGGGTAGCATCAGCTCATTGTCAGTGGGCAGATCTTTCCAGTGCAGGTGGCTAACCAGATCCAGATTGGCCTGTTTTCGTCTGACTTGCATTTCTCTTTTTGGCTTGCTGTGACAGAATGCAAACCACTACCAAGCATTTCACTGGGACATAAATAACAGAGGTTTATTTTATGTTTTCGAGTAGTAACATGGTCCAGGGTAATGGTGATAAAGTAACTGTTTCTTTGCAAACTAGTCCCAAGGGATACTTTTACAAAATTCTTTGAATTTTGTAGGGCAGTTTGGCTTCAATTTGTGTCCAGATTTAAATTTATTTGATGAAGACACTGAAGCATGTTAAATATAGAATGTAGTATGTGAGATGCATGGTAGCAATTTTATTTAGAGTATACAAAATGTATCTATATATAATATAAAAAGTCCTAGAAAATTGTGGGAGCACATATTTAAAGACAATAATGATATTATCACTAAATAACTAAATAGGTTAGTTTAGACTTATCTGTATTTTCTGAAATAAGTGAAATATTAAAGCGAGTAAAGCTAAATACTTAAAAATGGCTTTGGACATGATCCTAAAACCTGATATCATGATTTTAACTTCACAAAATTTAATCGGAATGAACTGAAGTCCCTTAGTTCAGTTATTGTTTTCATTTGCTCGGTTTGGCTTGTTTCTGGGCAGGGTCTGGCTCTGCATCCTAGGCAAGGCTTCACTGACAGCAGTCCTGCTTGGGCCTCCTTAGTGTTAGAATGACAAATGTGAACCCCACACTTGGATCTTTGTTAAGTTCTTAATAAAAAGATGAATGTAAGAGTTAAGACATATGAATTATCCTGGTACAATGAAGGGAGATGCAGAGGCCAACAGTGAGAGACTCTATCTCAGACTTTGCATATCTAAGTACCTTGAATGAAAGTGGACATTGCTTATTCTCCTGGTGGTTAATACTTACACAGCTGGATTAAATTCACTTTCTGAATGTACAAGGGGGTGTGTGAGGAAAGGGATTTGCAGAAAACATACAAATGAAGCCCAGGTGACAGTTCTAATGGCTGAGAGTTAAGTTTTCCATCCCTTCTGGGTTTCAGGTCCTTCCCCTCCAAACAAGGGCTTGGAAGATCTCTCTGTGGCAAATGTGAACACCTGGACCTAAGCAGAGATCAGGAATTGCATGGGAGCAGGTAGATCCCACCCTTGAACTGGCCGCAGAGTCAGGGAAAGCATACCTCCTCTCTAACCAGGAGAGCTGAGCATTGCAGAGGGACACCCATCATCTTGTGTGGATTCCATGTCACAGAGTTGGCCCTAATAAAGAAAAATCACGTTAGATGGTGGCACCGCTCACCCCACATCACCAAGGGTCTGCATTGTCCCTTTCTCATACACCAGGATGACACTCCGTGTACAGAAGTGCAGCCTTCCACTGTTCAGAGACAGGGTTGGCAAATATGCTTCCTTGTCCTTTCCTTTCTCTGCGCCTCCAATAAAAGCATACGTTTGCCTGTGTGGTGTTCTCAGAACCCTTAGGGTGACTTCGATCACTGAATTCAGGGTCTGCCTTTAGCCACTGTTGACCAGAGCACTGGAAAGATAGAAGGGTTATCCTTGTGTTTCTATTGTCCCTGCTTCTGACTCTGCCACAGTGGTCTGAATGAGGGAACATTACTGCACTGGTCATCTGTCCTTTCTTTGATGGCATTTGTCCTACTCAATTCATAACATACATCTCACATGTGTCCTTCCAGAGGGACTTTTACTTATTCCCTAAAGTCATCTCTCCTCTCACCCCATGCTTGCTATCTGTGGTGAGCAGAATGACCCATACAAGACAGCTTCTGCTATCTTTTCCTTCCTCTTCTTCCCTTAATTTTCCCTTTGAAACAGGGTCTCACTACAAAGCTTATGATGATTCAAAGTTGTTATCCTCATGTTTCAGCCCCCTGAGTACTGGGATTATGGGTATGGTTGCCCATATCTATCTTACAGAAGAGTTTACAATAAATTTTGTCCTCATTCATATGAAACACTATGTTCTTTCAGTGACTGTGGTTCTAAGATGCACAGCTCAGGGACTTAGACTACATTAGGACCATGGTTCATATTTCTTTAATAGCTATCATTATTATTAGCGTAATCTGGATAGTCTTAACTGACTCTCACTCACCCCTGGGCATGGATTATTTTATAGTTTTGTTTATGGTCTTTCCCCATAGCTCAAATTGCAAACTGTAGCACATGACTGGGGATGCCCCGGAGTGACCTCTGTGTTCAGCCCACATCCCTTCCCTTCCTGTATGCATTTCCACAACACCAGATTATTGCTTGTTCTCTGAGTATTCTACTCCACACTTGGGCCCATCATGCCATTGCCTCTTTCTTGGCTTCACTTTGTTTAATTTTATTTGTCCCTACATCCAGATCCTTAAAGGATCTCTTCAGCCACATTCAACTTCCTTTAATTTCTCCCCTGCACTGCTCCAACCCATCCCTGACCAGTGCCCATATCCATCAAGAAAGCTCAACGCTTGCCAAGATGATGGAGGTCTGTGGGATTCGGGATATGACCTTTGTATGACCTTTGTATAAAGAAACCCACAAGAGGAAGGAAGTAAGGCAGTGGAACAGCCTATAGCAGCTGAGTCCAGAGTGCCCTAGCTTGCTGTTCCACTCACCCCTCACCCCTCAAGGTGTGAGGGCTTTGGGAAGTAATGATGAATGACAGGTGTTATCTGGCCAATCAGAGGACACTTACTGTACTGGGAATCTTACCTAAGTCAATGAACAATCTAGCTCAGCAATCCATGGCATTTGGACAGCACCCCTGGGACTTATACTTGTGCCAGGTAAGATGCCAACTCCCTGGGCAGGTCTTCTGTATTTCTACCACTTTCCTGCTCTACCTCCACACAGAGAGCGACAAACACACCCTACCCTCCACCCAGACCAGACCTAACTTTCTCCAAGGACATTTAAACATCTCTGATCTCCAGATAGAATACCCTTCTTTCATTTCTGCCCCTCACTGGATGATGCTATGCTGATGCTTGGCACATGCTTTCTGGAATGACCTTCCTAGGAAGGACCATTTCTTCCTCCATCTCTGTTACCAGCAGGCTTGCCTTGGCTCTCAAGTGGGGTCCAAGGCAATTGCTGATGCAGCTTCTGTTTCATGGAAACTCTCAGTGAGTCCCTAAGTCCCCTGGAAGAGCAGACTGTTACAGTGTCAGACATATCCTGGAGTATCTGGGCTCCTCGCAGCCCATCTCAGCTACACTGGCTCTAGGAAAGGCAGTGCTAGCAAGAAAAAGAGTCATCAGAAGGATTTGGTTTGTTCCCAAAGAGGATGCCGATAGTGTTTTGCCATTATGCTGTGAGAACGTCATTTAGGGATGCCCTGAAACCACAGAGGGCAAGAATGGACCATGGATTTATTTTCCCCTTAGAGTGAGTCCTAAACTTTGGCTTGTAATACTTAGAGAAAAGTTATTTCCCCAAAGGAGTCACACTTCTTTCCTAAAATTAAGCCCCCACACATTGTGCTCTAGCAATTTCCGTAGGGGCTGTGACCTTATTCACCAAAGAGCGTGCACAACATGCTAAGAATGCTGTAGGATGTTACCATCTTGCTACATGTGCTCAGAGCATGACACGGCAGTCCCCTGGTTTCTGAGTGTTCCATCCTTGGCTATTCCACTTGGCAAATTTATTCATAACTTCGTTTTGAGAATTGTAGCAATAGGAACACAGAGGACTCTGTGTTCCAAGATGAACAGTCAGAATGTTTCTCTCAAATAACAGTCTTCAGTACAAAAGCGTGTGGGTGTTTATTTTCCCCAGGCTCCAGCTAGGTAATTTAGCGAGCTTTTAAATGGTGGTGGAGGGGTGCTCCATGGTCCTCAGCACTTGCTAAATGAGGTGGCATTAAAGGGAGTATAAAAGATGCTTGCACTTTGTCAGAAACAGTCGCAGAACAGAAGGTGCTGTGCACTCACTGGCCACTTCTGAAAGCACACGAGTTCAGTTCTGGCTAGGCGTGTACAGTACCCAGGTTCTAGCCGAGCTCGGGTGGAAGCTCGCTTGCTCTCATCTTTCCCCTCCGTGGGCCATGCAGTCAGAACAAGGGCAGAGCTAGTGACTTAACCCTGCTGTGCCGAGGCCAGGGCTCCAGGCAGCAGAGTCTCGGACAGTCATCCCATGATGTAAGGCTTGGCTGCTCTGCCCCAGCTCTTCCTTAGCCTTATTTCTGCCAATTCCAAAAGGACACTCTCGGCTCTATCCCCGACTGCTTCCTCCCACACTTCCACACTCACGGCTTCTGTCCATGTAAGCCCGAGCCGGCCTGGTCTCACACAGATCCTCTCTGGTCTGGGCTCTCTGCGTGCTGGCAGATGCTCCCTGAAGCCTCTTCCCTGGTCCTGACACGGAACTTGTGCCAAGATTTCCAGGGGCAGAGCCAGGGTGAAGCTTTTCCTGGGAAGCATCTGCCTGCTTGGCAGGGCATGGTAGGCAGTTGTCAGCCTCTGATGAATTAAGGCTTTCTCTGTGGTCTGGAGTGGCAGAACTCACAACAGTAGCTGACCTGCTGACCTGGTTGACTTGCTGTGTTGTGACGGGAAAACCAGTTGCCCTTTGCCTCTGACTGAGAACTGCAGCCTGAAACCATATTTTGTATTCTGCACCCCCCTCCACCCCAGCCCCAGACTTCAGTGTGTTTTATGCTAATCATACATTACTTCCTTTATGCTTTGCAGCCTTACTCAATGGTCTGCTGCACCCACCCCAAGTGAGAGCTACTTAATGCATCAGTCAGAGCTATGTCAGAAAAGGGTTGCTGTGGGATGAAGCCAGGAGAATAAAATCACTGGCATGTCTTACTTCATCTCAGCTGACTGTATCTAATGCCAAGCGTAACTTTCAGCATTACAAAGGACAAAGTATTTGCTGCTTATTTTAAAGCCATGGATGTTATTCTTGTGGTAAGGTGGAAGCTATAGATCTCTCTAGGAAAATGTGGACAGAGTGCACGTTTTAAAATCATGGCAGTGGATTCAGAGATGCCAGGAGTGAACTCTAGAGATAAACCCTCATTTCTGAAAGTGACTCTCCTTCCATTACTCAATGTGGGATTCGATTTTTATTTGTTTATTTATTTTTGTAGTTACACATAGGCTCACAAGTACAGGCAGAATGGGCATGCTGGCATCCCAAGACTTCCCTAGAAGTAGAATGCTATTTTTCCTTTGTGTAGCTTTTAACATCCTACATTATAGGCTAGGAAATTACACATACCTCTCCACTCCACTCAGCTTCCATTTGTGTTTCCGGGACATCAGTAGCCCTCCACCCCAAGCTGCCTGAAAGGACAAAACACACAAGGAAGAATGTAGTTCCTTTTCACAGCTTAGATTTCTACTTTGACATCTTCCATTTTAATGGGAATGTCATAGTATGAAAATGACCTTCACAAGTCCATGTAGATTAGGGCAGTGGACCACCTTCTCCTAATGTGAGGTCTCCAAATGTCAAGGTGAGAAGTTTCAGACTCTATCTTACATATATATGTACATATATATCATATGTTTATAATTATGGAGCCAAATTAGAGACATATTTTCCCAGTCTGCATGAACAGGAGAAAGATTGCCTCTCCAGCACTTCCTGCAGTTTTTAAGTTGCTCCTTTGTAAGGCCCATGCTCTCAGAGCAAGAAAGCCTATGACTGCTACAGTTGGAGTAGATAAGATGGGTTGGGGAACCATTAAACAGATTCTATGTTGAAAGTCAGAATGATCCAGGCCAGTGCTGCTTACAGTTTTAGCTTACAGCAGCATAAGATGTTTGCACCTGAATGTGTATCAACTTATCGCATCCTTATGAAGAAAATATTGTAACGAAAAACATCAGCTGAACTAAACTTCGTGGTGATGGTTTGTGGTTGGTTATTTATCACAAATATTTTATCTGGCCGTGGATCATTAGCAAGAACTTTGCAGATAGTAACTGATCATCAAGCCACACCAAGTAACACTCAATTTAAATCCCTTCAAGTCAGCCTTGTAAAAATGGACATAGTTTTCATTAGAAAATGCTGGTGTACTTTCTTTAAATTTTGGTGTCATTAAACTTTGTGTCAAAATAACTCTAATATAGTTCAGTTTCTTAGTTTACTAAACATATTGGAAATTTGGTAATCCATACTTTCTAGTAAGTCGTTAAACCTGCTTTTTACCCGCTGAATACATGATTATCTAACTTGAACTTGAGTTTTATAATACTATGGAGTTTTCCTACAAATGTAAATCCAGATTATACTTATAAGGGAGATCGGCATGTGTGTGACTGTGTGTGTGTTGGGGGGGGTGTTTTAACCAGGGACATTATGGATCAATAAATTGAGAACCAAAGGTCAAGTACTAGCATGCCAATAATATTTTCATGTTGGGAACCTTCACGCATAATCAGGCTGTTTCTGACTACTATTACACATTGTGTAAATTCTGTGCCTCTGAAATCTTTAAAATCAAAGATGCCACCATTCTAACATGAGAGAGAGGAGAGAGAGAGAGAGAGAGAGAGAGAGAGAGAGAGAGGGAGGGAGAGAGAGAGGAGAGAGAAATAGTATTTCATGAGTCTCATCTAAAAACTGTGCAGAGGTATTTAATGGGTAGTCGCTGAGCAGTACTTACATCCACATGCATCCAGATCTTATACTTTTTGCAAATGTCAGCAACAGCCAAGAGGGGATCAAAAGCCCCATACACAGTGGTTCCAGCTGTGGCACTCACAAGGAAAGGGACAAATCCCTACAAAAACAAGAAAGCCCAGTTGTGTAAACATCACCTCTGGACTTATTTACTCATTTAAAGTTTTGAGACAAGGCCTTGCTATGTAGCCCAGTCTCACTTGGAACTCTGTATGTAGACTAGTCTCAGCATGTGACAATCTTCCCAGCTCAGTCTCTCGAGTACTGGCACTACAGACATGACCAAGATCTGAAGCTTCTTTTAGTGAATGGATTAAAAACATAGGCACTCTCTCCTACCACCTGCATTGGTTTTAATCATCAGAAGATTGACTAAACCAATGACTCCTCCAAGATTCTGAAACCTCCACTCCATTGCACCCGATAGCTGCCCTGTGACAGCAGCAGTTAGTAGCACTGGCTTTGCTGCACTGGAGGTTTTTCAGTGATGTCCTCAAGCCATTACATACTCCAGGTAGACTGAATGATCCTTCTCATTGTCTTTGCTAACTTTCTGCTCTTTCTTCTTCACATCTAGCCACCTGACCCTAACTCCTCCCTTAGCATGTCCAAGTGGGAAGGATGGAATGAGCGCAGTCTCCAACAGCCCATGCTCCTGTGTGGACTAGCTCAGGTGAGCTTAGAGGGGAGCTCACATGGGACTAAGCATTCTCCAAGCCACGGAAACATGAAACTTTATTTAAATAATAGGACATGACTTCAAGAGGGTGTAAGAATGTCATAGATCAGTCAACTCCCCGCAGTCACTCTAGGCTGTCCTGACCATCCTGTTGGTTCATAGACCTTGATGTTTCAGAGATTGTCTTTAGGTGGCAGCAAAGATTTAATCTTATGCTTTATACTACTAGTCACCTTTCTAATACAAGAAAGCTGTAGGAGGGAAACAAGGCATATTAAAATAAATGATTACTGCTAAGCACATAGTAATTATATCTACTGCTAAATCAGGCATCCTATCCTTTATCTACTAAAAGTTAAACAGAATTCTCAAAGCAATCTCTGACTTGTGAACCTTCCAAGGGCATATTCTTTGATGATATTGTTATTTTGTTTTATGTTTTTGAGACATGATTTCACATCTTCCGAAATGACCTCAGACTCCACATGTAGCTGAGGATGACTTTGAACTTCTGGTTCTTCTACCTTGACCACACCTACTTTATGGATGCTGGGGATCAACCCAGGGCTTTTTGCAAGCTAAACAAGCACTCTCCCAACTGGGCCATATCCCCCAGCCTATCTTGTTATTGCTGAAAGAGTTCTAAATTTGTGCTTCAGACCAGATGTGTGGTCAACATGGTCGTCTGAGAACTCCATGTACAGTCACTCACATGTTGCATGAGCATGCCAGTCCTTAGCTGTGAGAGGGTGGTTCATACATGTGCAGCATGTAGGGGATGCTTTAGAAACCTGACTCTGTATAATTATCTACTCAATAGCTTAACCTTTTTCAAAGTACACACACACACACACACACACACATCACATACATGTACACACACACATGCATATACTCAGAGACCAATATGATGATTGCGTGAACATTTTCATATTCATATTAAAGCTTCGAGATTGGGTTTTGGATCCTTTTATAAAAACAAAGCCCAAGTGACTTTTTCTTGGTTACAAATAAAAATACATCTTGCCATGTGGTAGAAATCCCTACAGAAACTTACTTTCTGTTTGACTTCAAGGATTCTTCTTTCGAGATCAGATGGGATCATTTTCCCTCTGTAAGGAAAAAGGAATACATGTGAGTTTTTCTGGGCTAGTTTTCTTTGCTGTCTTTACAGTATCAGAAGCCTCAAGATGGTAGACTCCAATTCATATCATTAACCAGTGCTCAGTTAAGACAGCTATTTGGCTATCCCCCTAGACAGAAACAAATGCATTTATCTCCCAATATGGCATATGACCATTTAATACTGTGTTTGAGAGACACCCAACCACACCATGTCCTTGGTAAAATGGTCACACTGCCCCTCTTCTTTGCCCACAGACTGTTAAAACACATCCTTTTGATTTGAAACAGTTCTACTTGGGAACAAGACTTTTGGCAATGAAAGAGAAGTTCAGAAAAAAATTTACTCCCAATCTGCACTTTAGAAAAAAAAATCAATCCAAATGGGTGGTGGATCTACAGTTTTTTTTATGTTGATGGAACACTAAGAAGAAAGAATCCATTCTGAGACATTTGTATGGAAAATGTGATTCCCAAATCTCCTATATACTCTTAAAGCCTGAAAGTATAAAGCAAGCCAAAACCCAGGGACTCATTTCAAACACTCAGATAGAAAGGCACATGAGGAAGAAACATCATGTTGTTCCCAATAGATCTTTTTTTCCAAGGGACAGAGCTACCAATGTGCTTACTATCATTATCAGTAAAATAGGAAGGCACCAGATAAGGATGCATCATTGTATTCTGACACTGTTTCTTTCCTATAATAAAATTCAACATTATGATAATCATGAGATATTGTTTCTAGAACAAGTTATATAGTACCAAGTATTCCTGGAAAATGATAGTATTTATAGTTAGTTATTAGGATTAAGCAAGTCAATAACTTAACATGCAAAAAATATTTTTAAAGGCTTGGCATGTGATAGACACATAGTCATTGCTGAGATTTTTGTAATGTAGTGTGATATTTTTGTTTTAAGATTCCTAAGGAAAACAAAAAACACCAAAATAGTTGGAAGGAGCTGTTTGGGTGGTAAAATACTTTCTAAGGCTGGTAACTTTCCCCATTGGAATCATTAATCTAAGTTTTATAAAAACACTTTTGAAAAACTAAGGAGTGTGTAATACAAAAATTGGGTGGGGATGTTACTGGCATTCAATGAGCAGTGACTGGGACTTGGTATTTTAGCCCCTGTGGATCTAAACACACAGTGACCACAGGCTGCTTCATTTTACTTTCTGGAATCTTTCCAAAAATATGTGATTTTTACTACGGGTTAGTTAACGCTCTCACATTTCTTTAGTCTTTAAGTTAATCTGAATATTCTATAGAGGGTATGTCAGTTATGTTTATTTTTCCAGCTTCATTATAGATTTTAAAAAAGCATGACAAAACATTTGGAATGCATATCGGACATTACATCTCAAAACTTTGGGAACCACTGGCTTAGGTGTTTCTGTCAGAACAAAGTGATTCATTTGCAATCACCCAGGCAACAGTAATGGATTGGTGATTGGGTTGTCAGGTTAGAATTTAGAAAAAGGCATTATGGGCATATAGCTATGAAGAGCTTGTCTGCAATGCCAGAGCATCCCATCTTCCAGACTCCTGTCAGGCAGGGAAATGGGGCTGGGAATGAGCTCTCACCCTAAATTAGTTAAATATTGACTGATAACAAATCAAAGAAATTCATTTTATCTTATTTGCATGTGTATATACATGTGTTTTCATGCTCATGTGTGCACAGGTACACATGTTTATAGGTATACATGCTTGCACATATGCACCATTTCTTTTGAGGTAGGGTCTTTTGCTGACCTGGAACTCACCAAGTAGGCTAGGCTGACTGACCAGAAAGTCCCAGGGATTTGCTTGCCTCAATCTCACTCCCAAGGCCTAGCTTTCACACTTGAGTTCTGGGGCTTGAACTCTTGTGTTTGAAATACAAGTATTTTAGACTGAATGATTTCCCTAGCCAGACACTTACACTAGTTCTTGGCATGCATATAATTTCACCATTTGCTAAAGATGACAGCAAACATGCATACCATTGAGATGCATGTGCCTGTTTGATTTCACACAAAGAATTAGATCTTGGCTGAATGTTTTATGCTGCAGGATGTAGATCATCTTCAGGGGTTTCCAGAGTGGACAGATGTGTTTGTAACAGCAATTAAAAATTAATCATTCTAACATATATTCCATAGAGATACCAATCTGATACTTGTATGATGGAGAATGACAAAAGGAAAACTGTTGGAAACTTTGTTTTCTGTAAATGCACCATTTAAGTTTCTACAGTAGCAAAAAAATCTTATATGTATAGTGAAAGTATCCTAATTCATAGCATACAATAGCCTTAAATCTTAACCAGGTTGTTGCAGGTGATGGTTGTTGGTATTGTGTAACATGAAGGCACACACAGAACTAAGTGTGTTGGTTGTGCATTCAGAACCAAGTCTACAGTGAAATTGCAGAATACAACTGAGTGGGCACTGCCAGAAATGTCTTGGAATCACTACACATTGATTTTAAATTAATTTTTGCTCATTGCACAGTCAGAAACATTTTGCTATTGTCAGATTTTTCATGACCCCCCACAGTTAAGTGACCCCCAGATGAGGTTGTGACCCATCATTGATGGAGCTGCGTCCTGGACCACAGACTGCTTCACCCTGCTTTCAGCGAACTGTTCAAACTTCAGAGGAAAGTTTGGCAATTTATTTCTCTCTTACAGAAAGTTTTAAGCATATTAAAATTGCCATTGTGCTTTGTAGGTAAGCATGGAGCTTCAAAGAAAACTCTTAGAAACTGGCTATACGTCTCTTAAATTTCTCTAGTTTGCCTAAATTTGGAAAGTATGGGGTGGGTTGATAATCACCATTTGCTCATCAAATTACATCAGGATATTTTTGTTACATATACACCATTCGTCTGTCACTGACTAGTCAAGAGTTGGGGCACATTAGAACTGGAAACGACCTCAAGGACTGGCTCTCGTCTCACTCCTCACTTATCATATGAGGAGGAGGCTGAGGGGGGAAATGACCACCTGACACAAAGGGCTGCCAAAAGGGCATGGATTACAACTAAAATAAACGTAAAACTTAACAGAACAAACTTAAAGGAACCACACACTTAGCGAGGCTATCTGTAAAAGGTTGGATTATTTTGAACTGTTTGAGTGCTATACACACATCCAACATGTTTTGATCAAATTCACCGCCCATTATCACCCCTCCAGCTCCTCCCTCTGCACCATCCCCACCTGTCCCTCCCAGTTTTATGTGCTCTCCTATTCTTTCTAACCCACCACGTCCATGTGCTGCCTGTATGTGAATTGGTGTGGGACCATCTTTCAGTGGCCACATCTCTGAAGAAAAACTGAGGGAAGTTATACTCTCAGACGATAGCATACTGCTTTCAAGAACCAGTTATCGTCCAAACCTGCCTGGGAAACAGCAGTGAATGCAGAATTCACTTCCTATTTTATTTCCATAGTGTAATCTGAGAATACTAAAGTCTCACCAGACAGACATCATGGGGCTGTGGATACAAAACCTTGCGTCATTTTTTATTAATTTCGTTTTGTTTTGAGAACCTCATACATGGGCACTGTGTCTACATCACTTCCACTTTTCCTCTCTCCTTTAACTCCTCCCGTGCTGTCTCCCATACTCCAAAATTCAAGATCTTTCTTTACACCCATGCACACATGTGTATACAGCCTGCCGAGCCCATTTAGTGTTGCTCTTATGTGCATAGATCTTCCCCCATCAAAGAAGTTTCTTTTTGCGAAAGATAGAACTATTAATGAGATCTACAACTGGTCGAAATGCAGAGTGAAATGACAGTGGACTGCCCAACTCCATCTGGTACACCTGAAACGCAACCCCTACACCCATGGCTCCAGGAAAATCTCAGAAGAGGAGGCAGAAAGATTGTAAGGGCAGAAGCCCAGGATGCCTGTTGCTAGATAGTGCCCTCTAGACCTATCAGAAGTGCATCCAGGAAATCTCAACACTATGGTTGCCTGAACAAGACTGGTGTAATAATCTTTCCCCTTTTAGATCCTGGAATTCACTGAATTACTTTGGGATACCAATGCCTATTATTTCGCATGCCTAAGAATCAGTAAAGTGCTACTTTAAAATGTGAATTCCTTGGTTTCGCTCTTAGGGATTTTGATTGATTCAGCAGTCGGTGTAGAGTTGAATAATGAAGCTATTGAACAAATATCTACAAGCACTTACCGCGTCCGGATATCATTTTATGATCTGGTGTGCCAAGGTGACAGAACAGCTTATGCTCCAGGTCTTCTCCCATGCTAACATGGGAGAGAAACAATAGGTAGACAAACACATAGAAAGCTGCATTTCTAACGTGCACCCAGATGATTACGATGCAGGCAGACTCAGGTTCACACACATAGAAACCATGATTTAGACATGTACATTCAGCCTGGGTAGCATTTTAATAAAGTAACAGGCTAGCTGAACACTTCTCATATGAGCTATGGTTCAGAGTCCTTATGGCTATGGGGCAGAAAGCAGAAGGGACTCCAGATGTAGCAAAGACACCCTCTGCCTGCCCAGATGTTGTGGGGCTACCAGCAGGCTTTTCTGAGGATTTGTAGCTGTCTGTCCTAGCCTTTCTAGAAATGCTGTGTATGGCAGCTTGGCATCTTCTATGCCTGGCCTACAAGGACCCCTATAGCATAATGTATGCCTTTCACATTTACTTATCCAGCAGTCTTTAACCTCACAGTAACCACCAGTACCAATGTGACATTGCTCTGAGCGTCAGTGCGGCAGAAGACACTGACAACTGGGTGAGGGCTGTTGAACCAAGCTGAGGGCTTGGTGAGATGATTTCGTATTGAAATTTTTTGGTAAGAGATAGTTTTTAAAAGTCATACAAATTTGCCTGCATAAAACCCCAGAAAGATGCTAGTCGGTTGGAAAAGTCTTTGTGTTAAGACTTTTAGTCCTACTGTGGATTGGGCTGTGGTTCATCCCTGTACATCCATGAACACAAAGGAAGGAG